ACGTGATCACCGCCGTGGGCGCTGAGAGGGGGGGGGGGGGCCCAGACGGCCGGGCCGCCGCAGGAGCAGCCCCGCGGGGCCGCCCAGACGCCAAGTCCCCGTCTCTTATCTGGCATCAGAAGCTGGCCAGTGTTCCTCGTCCGACAGACTCTCCAGCCTGGCCTGCCCTGCCCGTGGAGCCCTGTCCCTCAGCTGCCGGCGCTCTGTTGGGAAACCTCAGGCTGGGCCTTTGAGGACACAGATCAGAGAGAAGGCAACTTTCCTCTGCTCGGGACACTTGCACAGAAGGGCTGCCCGCCTGGCCCGAGCCAGCTGGGAGCCTGGCCACGGGTCCTACCTCCCCAGAGCAGCAGGGCCTGGGGCTTCCCGCCAAAGCTGCAGCGGAATCCTGCTCACTCGACCGCCTTCCTTCCCTCAGTATGTCCTGCTTTCCAGCTGAACCCAAACTACAAGTGGGTTTAAAAAATAAACCACACCAAAAACAAAAATGCCCTGAGTCTGTGTTCTTTGTGATTCTGGCAAAGGGAATCTCTCCCAAAGGCTTTTGTGCCTCAGCAGGTGCGGGCAGGAACCTCGGAGGAGCCCCTGCCCAGGTGATGAGCTGATGAGATTCCCCACGGCGGGGCCGGAGCAGGCGCCTGGCGCCTGGGAAAGACGGGGAGGGGTGGTCCAGGAGAACGTGCGTGAAGGAGACATATGTCCCTCCCCTAAGCTGGGGAACTCGGCCTGTCCAAGATGGGGAGGTTAAGCCAGTTTTGCACAAAATGACTTTTCCACTAAAAATTTGGTTTGCTGCACATTTAACCACCCCATTCCCCAAAACTGCCCCTTCCATGAAAAAGTCACTGTGACATTTAGCAATGACTCATTCTAAGAAAACTGAGACCTGGGCCTAGCAGCTTCTAAAATTCAGCAGCAAGTGGCTGTCCAATCCTTGTGGGTCAAATCAGTCTTTCATAAAAGGGACCCAAAGAGCCCCAGTGATTTATTTTCCTGTGATGACATGTTCCTTGTTTTGCACAATCCCTTCCACGGCAAGACATTAGGGACACCGCCTCTTGGTAACAGGTCCCCCTTGGGAGTCTTTCTGGATAGAACTTGCCAGGCTTTCGGCTGCTCAGGACGGCGACCAGCACATCCACCCCTTCATACATCCCTACTCTGGCCAAGATGGCAGCCGGGCCAGCCCAGGAGCCCTGGGAAGGCTGGACCCTGCCCATTACTGAGTCACAGGTCACAGACTGGCAGAGGGAGATAACATTTTAATTAAACCACTGACATTTGTCAAGCTGAAGTGTTTTACAGAAATGCAAAGGGGTAGAAGCAGAAAGCACAGGTCAAAATGAAAGTTACTGGATGGCGGGAGACAGGACAGGGAAGGAGAAATTTTATCAAACATTTTTCACCAAAAGGGAGAGGAGCTGTTTCTGGGTGATTTAGCTCTAGTGCCGTAAGGTTTTAAACGACTGAAAACTGTGAAACACATGCTCCAAAAAATAAAAGTTTCAATTCTGCATTTCACCACCGTCTCTGCTGACATGGGTTATGTGTCCTGCTAAAGGGTGAGTTTCATTTGTACTGGGGTCTGAAGGAGGGAGAGACAGAAGACTATTCTGGGTGAACGAACTAGAACACACACACACACACACACACACACACACACACATACCCCTGACCTGTAGCTGAGAGGGAAAGTGGTCATGTGTGAGCATCGAAGGTCTCTGTTCCCACAGT